AGCTGGATCGACAGCTAGAGGTGGTGCAGTCGTTCTCACTGCAAATAAAGTAATAAGATATGGTTAATGACAAGAATTACGGTGAATCAGACGTAACAGTCGCACATATGGAAAGTATATGGTTGGTGTAAGATTATTGATATTTGAACAGACATCAGTTTCATTCTACAACGGCAAACGTTAATAGTGCGTTTAAATGCAGGAGAAATGACAATTTTCTTTAGTAATTATTATATATTTCCTTTATGTTATATATTGAGTGCATCAATATAAGCAAACAGTTACTTTATCTCGTGCATATTTACCTCAGCATTGCTCCAGGCGTATGGACTACCATCAGGTCTATGTGTTTGTGAGCAGACGAGATCATTGTCTGTAGTTCCTGCTGCAGCTGCCGAAAGCTTGGTCGTTCACTAGGTACGAGTTCCCAAGCACTCTGCATCAGTTCATATCTGATGAAATAAATATACCGTTATAGCCTGTGCTCTAAAACTGCCATTGTTCAGGGCAAGGACACTGCGTATTAGTCGAATACTTTATATTACGATTGATTTAACCAGTTGGGAATTACCGTTCAGGTAAAGTTATGTTTATTGAGTGTATACTTACAGCTGGGTGGAACAGTAGTCTGACTGCTTGAGTCTATTTCCATCCAGAAGATACGGCAGCATGTCTTCTTCCTTAATTCCCGAATAGAGCTCGTTGCCAAGCGTCGTTATTTCCCATAGCAGTACACCGAACGCCCAGACGTCAGAAGCCTCTGACCGCTGTCCAGTTTGAAGTATCTCTGGTGCAGCGGATTGGACGGGAATAGTATGTGTATCTGTGCAGAAAAAGCAGAACATGTTAGGCCATGTTATCAGGTTTCACACATTAACAATATTAGCGTGGAATAACTTATATCTTACAGTCGTCGTCTTTATATTAAAATCAACAAATCAACAATGGATACAAATAACTGTATATTTCTCTGCTTGCACGAAGATACGTTCGTCTAATTACAAGCTTACCTGACATAATTCCAGCCTGGCTTGACTGTGAGTGACTGAAGTCACAGAGCTTCACCGTTCCCTGATCTGTTACGAGAATGTTTCTTGCAGTGACGTCACCGTGATTGAAGCCCTTCTCTGTCACGTACGTCTGCGGGAAGAATGACATGATAAATACGTCACTTTGCAATTTATTACAGATTAGTTTACTATCGCAGTAAATTTTCCAAACCATAACGAGCCGATTATATCCAAAGAATATAACCCATATTATTGATTATCGGATCCCTATAATGGGATATTTATAAACGTACCATGCCATTGGCAATTTGCCATGCCCAGCCAAGCAACGTGACTGCAGTTGCTTGGATTTGTTCCTGTCTTCCAAGGCTGTCCACACCGGTGTAAATTATAACCATTCTCCCTCCAGTTGACATCAGATCTCCCTCCATATGTAGTTTCCTGCAATAAACAATTGTTTTTTGCTTTATGCGGGACATGGGATATTTGTACCCAATAATAATCTGTTACCAAGCAGTTATTGCCCGTCTTTTACACTTGGGTCATAGTTTTATGGTTAATACTTCTATGGTTAACATATGTACCTGAGCAGGTTGCGCAAGCTTCCACTACCAGCATATTCTGTGATGAGTGTGATAGGTTCAGTGACAGTGATGGCTCCAATGAGGCCGATGACGTTAGGGTGTGCTCCTAGCTGCTTCATCACAGATGTCTCATTCATGAGCACCTTCCGGCCATGCTGCGTGTTATCTACACGAAGTAAATTTCCATGTTTATGTCGGAGAGTACTAATAAACGTATAGAAACTGTAGAATATATGCCATTAAGTTACTTTATCACGTCCAGACGTCCTTCATTATGATAATCGTTTTCTGCTTAATAGACAGTTTACATCAATAATTCAGCAAACAGAGACAATTCATTAAGCCACTTTACGAATATTGTTTATGAAGATTATCTTATATAATATTTGATCATTTACCTTTGCATGTCTTCACAGCAACGATTCTCTCCCCCGTGCGTCCCATGTTCACTTGACTGAAGGATCCTTTTCCAATCCTGTGTCCAATAGTTAGGCTGCCTGGCTCAAGCTCCCATTTGTCTTGAATTACTACCAGGGGGCTCTGAAGCTGACTGTCACTCTCAACTGTAAAACAGTAAAACAGTCGCTTAGAACAGCAGCAATGAGCGTCAGTAGGAAATAGTACACCCACTATAAAAGTAGTACACTGTGTCGGAATAGTCACAACTGCGATAGGAAATAGTAACGACGCCCACGTAAGAAATGTACATCCGCGTAGGAAATAGTACACTGCAATAGGAAATAGTACACCCACGTAGGAAAATAGTACAACTGCAATTAGGAAATAGTACACGCCCCGTAGGAAATAATACAATCTGTGTAGGAATAGTACACACCCACGTAGAAATAGTTACAACTGCATAGGACAATAGTACACCACTTGGAAATAGTACAACCGGCATAGGAAATAGTACAACTGCATAGGAAATAGTACATCCCACCGTAGAAATATACACCCACGAGGAAATAGTACACGCTGTAGGAGAATAGACACCCCACGTAGGAATGTACAACTGCATAGGAAATAGAGTACACCCCGGTAAGAAATAGTACAATTGCATAGGAAATAGTAGCGAGCCCACGTAGGAAAGTAGGTACAAACTGCATAGCGAAATAGTACACCCACGTAGACATAGTACACCCACGGTAGGATAATAGTACATTCCCACGTAGGAAATAGTGACAACTGCGCTTAGGGAAACCGTAAGGCTGCGTAGGACAAACAGTAACTATGTAGGAAACAATACATCCCCAACCGTAGGAATAGTAGGCCTATATATGCGTAGAAAATCGGAAAAGCATCCACGGTTACACACAATTCTGAACGCTTCGCTTTTCGACTAGTAAGTTCAAGACTTTCCGACTTTCAGATTACTCACGACTTAGTTGTGTAAGGCAGCGGGTCACGCGACCCCGGCAATGG